GTGTGTGTGTGTGTGTGTGTGTGTGTGTGTGTGTGTGTGTATGTGTGTTTAAAATACCTAGGTGCTGGTTTTGTTGTTAGTGAAGAATAAGAGAGGAGGAGCAAATGGGAGATACAATCACTGTAAAAAACCACCCCACAAACTTCAGGACTCCGAAGTGCAAACTACCAATACAAACAAGAATCCTCTGAAAGTGCACCTTACCTTATCATGGACTGTCATGCAGCTAGCTGCATCCTTCTGAAGAATTTCAGTTACCCCATTGGAAAGCCTTTCATACTTCAGTTTGGGTTCCTCTTCACTCTCTTCTTCCTACATAAAAAGCAGAGAAAAATTACAGCTGATGCAGATTTGTTTGTTTTGAAACTCTAAACACACACTTCCTAAGGGCAAACAAGAGATAATCCCCTCACCCATTTTATCAATAACTACAACTACACCTGAAGGTTAAGATCTTCATGTTTCCTTTTGCCAACTGGGTGTATCAACTTCATCTCTAGAGTAAGTTCAAAAGCTGAAAACAGGAGTTAGAGACTTAGAGTGATATTGTCACTTTCTATTTTCAAGCTTACTGTTTGGTACAGCATCATGAGATACTCTTAATCCTCATAGTTAAGGAATAAATTTAGTAATCAATATTGACTATAATGAACATGGATAATAAATCAAGGATAGTTGTAAAAATTATTACAATAATGATCCAGAAAAAAATTAATTTTACCTCAGTAATGACAAACAAAAAAATGTTCACATATCAAAATGACAGCATAAAGCCAGACTAAATAGAAATTCATAAAAGCAATCTATTCACTGATATTTACTTTGAAAATAACTGCAGAGTATTCATTATGCAGCTGCTATGAAAGTACCTTGAGATACATCAATGCCCCCACCCAGAATAACTAAAAAGTCTTGATAAAATATATATTAACTGTTCCAGGAATCAAAAACCTACTGAGGCAACCTTGCCAGAAGAGTCAAGATTGTAGGGCGGTGGAGAAACCAGAGAGGTAAGCTGGAATTCTATAGACACCATCTTCCTGAAAACATTCACCAATTCTGGGTATAGGAAAAGGGTCTATGAACCCAAGCTCTGGCAGGGAAAATAGCCACTGCCGGGGGTAGGAAAAGCAGCAAATTTTGGTGCTCATGGGATACATAGAAAAGTATGGAGATTTGAGAGGCCATGATTCCAGTGGAAGAGAAGGGGAGAGAACTGAGCTTGTTACATAGTCACTTTTCCCTATAAGACAACTTTTATTTTCTAAAGCTATATAGGGTGTGAAGCTAAAAAGCTAAACCACTTGCTTTGATGTACTAAGAAGACACAAATTAGAGGTCTGGAATCATCAGGAAATGGTCCTCATAAATACCACACACTCACTGTTGGAAATCCTGGTCCTTAGGGGACCTTAAAACTTAATAAAATATCCATGGAGCGGTGACTTACTTTAATCTCTGATTATAATCAGGGAACATAACTCCCAACCTATCTACAGATGTATCTACAGACTAAAGGAAAGAGAGAT